AGAGAGAGAGAGAGTAGAAGAGGATATCTAAGAACAACATATTTCTACCTTCCTCATATTAGGGAAATATAACATCTACATGTACATTAATACCATAGGAGGTAAAATGTCCCACCTGTCCTTTAGAAGGTCCTTGAGTGCCCGTCGTACGTTCAGCCTGACCGGGTCCAGCTCGATGGGTTTAGATGACTGGCCTTTCTTTCCTTTATCTGCTTCTTTACCTGTCAAAATAAAAAAAAATCATTACATGACTCCATGAAGAATTTTGTTGTAGCTTTGTGAGTGAACTTCTTGTTTTGTTCATTATCAGAACTTCTTGCTGATTCTGTATATACATTTTCCCCCTGGCTCCCATAATGAAAAGCATGCAAACTGAGACAAGAAATTAGATAATCTTTCAAACATATCCTGGGACCTTTCTTGAGCCATTCACCTAACATCTTGTCAGTGTCTCATTGTCATTAAATAAAATCACTTGCATGCATATGTATTGTTTTACGATATCCAAACATATAAAAAAACTATGAAAATGTGTGAAAGCACCAGGTTCATTCTAGCTTCATTCCCAACTCTGAGTTGACACAGCTCCGTAAGTTTGTGTTTGCTTAACTTCTGGTCTCAATGCATAGGTGTATGTATTGTTTTATGATATCCAAACATATAAAAAAAACAATGTAAATGTGTGAAAGCACAAGGTTCATTTTAATTTCATTCCCAAAAACTCTTGAGTGATTTGACACAACTCCAGGATGTCTCACCGTAAGTCTTGACCTCAGGTCTCAGCACCTCGTATGTTGGGTGTGTCTCTAACCACTGAGACAGGTTATCTTCAGTAGGGGCAGACAGACCTGCCAGCAAACGGCCTGTGGACCTGAATAGGGAAAATAATAACACGTTAATATTTAAACTGCTAAGGTGCTCTCTGTGTATTGGGACAGTTATTTTTTATCCTCTCATCTTTTCTGTTGCCTACCACTCCTCTGTCCTCCCTGTACTGTTCCTTACATGATGGTTTTGGCTAGGCCCGATGACTGTGACACATGGCCAAGCCACTTAGTTTCCGTCTATTTACTGTTTTATTTGTGTTTAGGTCTTTGTACAGACCTATGCTTTGTTTGACTCTGTTTTGTACTTCATTATTTTGAGATGCGGTCTCTGTTACTACTTTACTATTACCACAATTCCAAGACTTCAGACAGCAACATATATATAGATGTATATAAAGCCACAACAATGATTACCTTTCAATAACAGCAACTCTCTCTGGGTCCTTCTTGCCCTTCTCTGTAGACGTAGCGGCTGGAGATGTGGGGACTTTCTTATGGTGGCCGTGGCCATGGGAGGTGGAGTCTGGCTTTGCCTGGACAAACAGATTAAAACCTCAACTTCAGTGTGCAACAATCACCTGTCCTGTTGGTTCCATGCAGTGGTCTAAATATTTAACCTACTCCCTGATGCCTCACCGCATGAACAATAGAGACATACCAATAAAGAATTAGTAGCCAAATGACTACCTTAGTGTACTAAAGGTTAAGCTCTAAGATATTGCACAGGGAATTAGAAGTCTTACATAAAATGATGTAAGTTTGAAACCTATGGGTGCTCATTGCTAAAGGTATAACAGTTACGTGTGCTAAGCCCAGTTTAGTACATGTACAATGTACATGCTAAAGGTACATGTACAACAGTGAGTTTAGTGCGCTAAGCCCAGTTTAGCACATGCTAAAGGTACATGCTAAAGGTTTAACACTAAGTTATTGGTGCTAAAGGTTTAACAGTAATTTTAGTGTGCTAAAGTTATTGCACAGGGAACTTGAAGTCTTACGTAGAACGATGTAGGTTTGAAACCTACAGGAGGTGACTTGGGGTCCTTCTTGCCGGGCGAGTCCAGTAGACCGTACTTCTGTTTCTCCTTGTTGATGAGTTTCAGCGACTCCCGTGCATGAGACAGGATACAGTTGTTACTGCAGTACACGGACCCTCGCTGGGCCCAGTTGGTACAACCAGCACCGATACACTTCTGTCTTGGGTGGTACTTCTGAAAGGTAAGAAAGTATTTCTTGTATTTTCAAAGGACTATCGTAAATGGAACTTGTTACTGGTACCACCAAGTACAGTTGGGGAGTCATCAGTTGAAAGCTTTAAACAACTTTAAACACTTCTGTCTTGGGTGGTACTTCTGTTGGTTGGAAGGAAGGTAAGAAAGGTAAGAAACTCGTATTTTCCATGGACTATTGTAGAGTGGAACTTGTCACCACCAAGCACAGTTGGGGCATCATCAATAGAAAGCTTTAGACAACTCCTACAATGAAATGTGCAAAGATTGAGTGTAACAACTCCTGCAATTAAATGTACAAAGATTGAGTGTAATAAGTCATTTGGTGTGATATAGCTAGCTGTCGCCACGCCACATGCCTGTGAAGCTGAATAAGCAAAGATTGCTAATAAATTCTAACTAAAACTAAATTAGCTTAATAATAATAATAATAATATACTGTTCTTGGTGGCAAATGAATACAGTTCTATAAACTGGTATCAAACTGTCATTGGCACACCAAATCAGTGTGTGACATCGATAGTCTTAAAAGTTCCGTTCCATCGTGCCTTGTCTGCTGCCTGTTCCCGCAGCCATTTCAGCATGTAGGGCGCCGTCTGGACATTCTGATGGAAGTACAGCTTCACATCATCGACCAGGCAGTCGAGAAGGCCTCCACGGGGCCTACCTCTCCTAGGTGTGAGTTTCTTACTAAAGGCGATGTTAAGTGCCTTTTGAGCAGGTGAATCAAGAGGCATGCGTAATATATGTCCAAAGAGTGTCCACCTACGTCGATGTACTTCGTTGTGCAGCGGTGAAGCCTTACACTTCTTATAGAGTTTGCTGTTAGAGATGTAGTTGGGGTAGTAATAGCCGGCTAAGCGTCGTAGCTGCTTGCGATGCCATCTGTCTATCTTAGCTTAGGTGGCAGAATATTCATAAAACCTGTGGCTGCATATTCTAACAGCTTTAAAAACAAAACAGGTGGTAATACATGTACATACAAATATCTGAATAATAAAAATTTTGGAGGTCAAAACTTGAGAATTCAACATACCTCCTTAAAGATCTTGATCTTCTTTTTCTTCGCAGTAGGACTCTCCTTCTCCGATTCCTTCTCCTCTTCCTTCGACTTTTGTCTCTTGAGAGTCTCTCCTCCTTCTTCTCCCTTCTTGGTGGGTTCTTTCTTCGCTGGCTTGCCCGTCTTGGAGTGGTCTTCTTTTGTCTTCATCTTCTTGTCTGATTTACTGGTTGAAGCGTCATCGCTTCCCTGGAAAGTAGGTTCAGTGTTGGTTAATTTCTCCCTTCCTTAGGCAGTAGTGGAGTGAGATTAAGAGGTTGCGGGTTCGATTCCAAGCATTCCAGGCTAGAAGTTGTTTCCTTGGGAAAGGCACTCTACACAACTTTCCTCACTCCACCCAGGTGAAAAATGACTTCAGTTGGGAAGGTACAAGGCTGTAGAAGGACAGGGATGGGCTCTGCCTTCCAATATCGTGCCCTAGACACAGTGGATAAACAACCCACTGCCCCTATGGCCTGAAAAAGGCTATGGGACTACCCCTATCTACCTACAGCTTACAATTCAACACTAAAATAGTTCTCTCTACACTTTCTTTAGTTATAGATGAAAAGACTCTGACAATGTTCACCACTAAACACAACACAAAAATACACAATATGAAGACCATTACCAGTAGAATATGCCAGGTTTTGCACAGAAGACAAAAATAGCACAGCGTTTCGCTGTGAGGCTTTTTCATTCTATTACATGCAATTATGCATGAGTGCGGAGAAAACAACTAAATTAGTCTACAAAACTGAACATGTATTTTGAATGAGCCCGTGTGATTGGCCCTTTCCAGCTGGCCCTTTCCAAAAATATACGTCCTCTTTTATGCATTTTCTTTAGTGTTCAACATGTACCTCTTTGTCTTG